TTTTTTTTTTTTTTTTTTTGGTTCAATCAAATCGATTTTCCTGCAACCCTTTGGATCAGACCACCAGGCTGATTCTGCCCCTCCTCCCGGGCTCTCCTGTGTGCCTGCCTCTCAGGGAAAATCTTACGCATGGGAGATTCCAGAATGACATCAAGTGAGTGGTGTTCCCCTCACCTCAACCCTGGCCACACATCCTTACCGAAACAAATTTTGGGGAATGGACAGAGGGGGAAAAAAAAATGAGGAAATCTAACTAGTTATTAATTGACAAAGTAACAGTGCACAGAAAGCCTAATTCTAGCACTTCATCACAAGCTGCTTTTTATAAGCATTGTACATTGACTTGTTATCTGTTCCAAATGATTCACTATTAGCTCGTTGTATATTATCTTCTCCGTAAGTAACCACTTCAAGTTCAGGAACATTTACTTGCAATTCTTTGGTTCTCCACAGCCCAGGGCTGGCTTCATGGATATGGGACCAGTACAGGTACACAGAGGCTCCATGCTCAGAAAAGCCTCACACTGAAGTTTAATGCTCTATGCTCACCATCGAGAAATCCTTAATAATTTCATCTTTGAATTTCAGTTTTAGAAGTTAAGTCTGATGGGATAATGAAACAGGGGCAGGGGACATAAAACTTGGGCCCATATGCTATCCCACCTCCCATGACCTGCAGGCTTCCCTAAGATTGGTCTTTGGCCTCCTACCACTCACCCTCCGGTGCCCCCAGCCTCACCTGGGAGAGTCAGGGTCATGTACACATAACCAAACTATCTCAGGGAAGCTGCCAGGCTGCCCCCACCCGAGGCTGGCAGTGTTGCAGAGCATTCAGAGGGCAACTCTGGCCCACTCTTGATCCGGGTACCAAGCACGTCACAGAGTTTGCAATCCTATGGGTCGAAGTGGTGGTCCCATAGGAAGGGAGATGCCAGGTTCAGTGTGGCATCAGCCTGGTAGCTGGAGGCAGGGGGAACCCAGCTGCCCAGCACCAGGGTAGTGGACAGGGCCCCCAGTGCCTGTGAGCCTGCTCCCACTCTGGGAGCATCCCCATACCCGGGGAAGCACGACATTAAAAAGCACATGGAGGGGCGCCTGGACGGCTCAGTCGGTGAAGCGTCCGACTTCGGCTCAGGTCATGATCTTGCGGTTTGTGAGTTCGAGCCCTGCGTTGGGCTCTGTGCTGATAGCTCAGGGCCTAGAACCTGCTTCGGATTCTGTGTCTCCCTCTCTCTCTGCCCCTCCCCTGCTCGTGCTCTGTCTCTGTCTCTCTCTCTAAAAAGTAAATAAACATTTAAAAAAAAAAAAAAA